TTCTCATGTGGCTCTCCTCAGGGTCTGTCCCTGTGTGGCAGTTCAGAGCCTCACAGCACCTCAGGTCCCTGGGCTCACAGCTGCCCTGGTCAGGAGTCAGGTGGTGGTCTCTGGGGCCCCTCAGGATCTCACCTGCTGACAGCCTGTGTGGGCTGGGGCCCTCTGCCGGGCTCCTGGGGACAGCAGGACCTGTTTGCTCGGGGCTGTAGGACTGCTTCCAATCTCCCACTAGCTGTGGGCAGCGACCTCCTGGCTGGAGCCTGTTGACCGCTGGGGGCCGCGTCCAGGTCACAGTCTGACTGCTTGGGTTCCCAGCCCTGCAGGGGATCTCGTCCTGGCCTGGGAGGACCAACAGGGGATGTCCAGGAAACACGCTCAGGGCAGGCACACCCAGGGCGTAACCCAGAGCTCTGGCCCTTGGGGCTGAGGAGGGGTTTAGGACAAGGAGAGAGAAATGCCCCAGTCTCAAGGGAAACACCTTCAGGCCTCGAGTGCAGCGTCCGTGGTGCAGAAAACACACTTGAGGTCCGGTGGCCCGTCTCTTCTCCCCTGACAGGGCCCCCTGGAGTTCCCCCTGTCAGGCCTCTTGTAAATATCATCTGGACCTCACGTGCCAGGAAGGACAGGAGAGGAGCTGTGGAGCAGACATCCGGGACCTCTCTGTTCCTGACCCCTCATTGAGCTAGTGTGCTAGGAAACAGACCTGTCAGCTGCTGGCTTCGGTCTCCTAGCTGAGCCAGGGTGGTGCACAGAGCTGATCCATCTGTCCACTCAGGTCCCGAAGCTACGCGAGCTCTGGTGTGCTTGTGGAGGCGCCTCAGTGCCCAGGGCTCTTGGTCAAGCATCTGGTGAGCCCCACCTCATGCTGCCTCATGTTGACCCTGCAGGGTCCCTGAGTCGCATGTCCAGATGATGGTGTCTCCGTGTGTACATCAGTCTCTTTTGTGCCACGTCACACCATGTGCCGATTGTTCCCATCGCATTGAGCGGGTCCTTTCATGAACCTGAGTACAAACACAGTGATTTACTTTAAGTAACACACTTGCAGATTACTGCATACAGTGGGGAGAGATCTCAACCTTCATCACTTATGTGTGATTCAGAACAGAAGCAAGACGCTTCTCAGTGAGTCCCCAGAGCTTGCTCAGGCCCTTGGAGAGTTCTTGAATTAATGAGAGAGACGCTCTGCCCCTGGCTGTGGACCCATGCTCAGGTGTGGACAAGGGATCAGAAGTCCAGGGAAGACAGTTTTCAATGGCTGACGGCATCACGCTCCAGCTCCAGGGGGGCGCTGTCCCCAAGTGGAAGTCAGCTGCAGGAAGAGCTGGCCGAGGGGCGAGTGGCCTCTGACGTACTTCATGTCATGGTGGTCCCAGCTGGGAGCTGCTCCACAGGCTCTCGTGGGAGGACAAGTGAAGTGTGCAGGAGCAACGCGGTCAGCAGAGCTGGGGAAGGACCTCTGCACTCACCTGGCTGGAGCCCGTCTGTGAATGACCCCAGCTGTTGACCCGTGGTCTCTTCTTTTGCCGTTTCTTTTGTTTGTTTGTGGGCAGAGCTGGGGAGTGAGTCCCGGGCCTCCCCAGGCTGGGCAAGCTCTCCCAGGCTGGGCTACTTCCGCCCTGTGGCTGACCCATTGAATTCAACACAGAATGTCCCTGAGTTTCATCCACTGTGACCTAAGATGTGCTTGTTTTACTCTGGCCTCCTGTGACGCTTGTCAGCTCCCGGGTTGCATTCCAATGAAGGGTCTTCCTCTGTCCCCTTTCACTGTCTGAACTCCTGGCTTCATTCATTTCATCAGGAGTGTGTGATTTATGTGTTTTAATCTACACAGGAGCTGAGCCATGTCTTATTAATGTATGTATGTGTGGAATAATAAGAGCCCTGTTCAAAGCAGATGTTCAATAAATGCTTGTGAATAAATTAATGAACTTAAGTAAGTATTCCTGGCAATTGAGAGCCAGTTGTCCCTTGCCAGGAAAGCTGACAACACTGTTGCTGAAGCCAGTCAAGTTGAGGAGCTGGTCAGCAATGAGGCCAGCCACTTTAGCTGGCCAGTTCCTAGGTTACAGCAGGCGTTCCTCATCTAGATCCAGCTCAAAACCAACACATGCAATGGTCCTTGTGAGTGTCGATGTACATTTTAATTCTTAGAGTTTTTAGTTCTTGGAGTGGCTGATTCAGTCTCTTCAGGTCTGCATTCCTGAATTTGTCTTCCTGATTCTTTGGAGAACCATTTCTGTGGACTTTTCCTAGATTCCATGAAGGAAGAATTCCAGGGGGCACAGCCCCTCAGATTATGAGGAACTGGGCTGAGAGTAGGTTTATCCTGAATGTCTGCATCACACTCTTCTGCAGATTTTCAGTTTCCTACTTGGGTACTTGCAAAAAGTGAGTAGACCCTACATCTCTGTCATGCGTATTAAATTTAACAAAAACTGTGATTCTGTGAATATGTTGTCAGATGTTTGCATCATGCTGATGGATTCTAAAACTTTGCAAAACTTTCAAGTTCCATGGGTTGGGTCTTGGCTGGAAAAATGTGAAGTTAATTTGGCAAGAAAACAAATCACCTAAAACCAACACCTATCTTCATGCCTGGTAGGGAACTGGGTGGTTGCTCCAGGGTCAATGGGGATGGTGAGGCAGGAGAAGACGTGCCTGCTTTTGCTGCCCGACTGGGCCACCTTGCGGCCTCTGAGAGTGGGCTGCTGGGCACCTGTCTGGAGCCTGGCTCCTGCCCTTCCACAGGTCACTTCTCGGGACACCTTCTTGAGTCCTGAGAGGCCCTGACAGGCCCCTCTGAAGGAGCAGTCCCGGCATCAGGAGCCTACCTGACATCAGCGTGAATCAGGGTGGCATCCTGAGTCCCCTACCTGCGTTTCAGGGCCCACGCCCCAATGTAGCTAGATTTGGAGGTGGGGTTTGTCGGGTGAGGAAGGTGAAATGAGGTCATAGGGGTGAGGCCCTCATCTGACAGGACGGGGGGTCTCTGTCCCCCGTGTGAGGACACAGGGACCAGGTAGCTGATCAAGCTCTCCCAGGTGGCGAATACGTGGCACCTCGACCTTGGACTCTCCAGCCTCCAGAACTGTGAGCCAGCGTCTGCTGAGTAAACCCCCAACTGCAGGATCCTCCTCAGCCCTGGATCACGAGGACGGCGCTCAGGACTGGGGCTTCTGTTCCAAGATCATGGCTCTGAAACCGCCTCATGGCCCCAGGATGTCACTCCTTCCTTCAGGACATTCAGAAAGCAAGGTGTGAGTGTGCTGCCATGAACAATACAGAAACCATCCGAGCTGCGCGGCGACTCTCGTTGAGCACCAAGGGCTGCAGGAAGGCCGAGGACCGCAGGTGCCCCTCTCATTCCCTCTTTCTGAACGTGGTGTGCGGTCAGCAATTCTGCAGACCCAGAACATGCATCAGGCTGTTCAGGTGCCAGCTGGTCCCAAGGGAAGGATGGGAAACCACTGGCAAGTAGCAGACTTTCCTCTTGAAAATTGTGTCTCAACATATTAAATAAAAATGACGATATTATGCAAATTTTTTCTGTCAACTTTGGACACATGGAATAGTATTAGTGCAAAAAAATTGAGCTATTTAGCATGTGCATGGAATATTCTCTGTAATGGGCCAGACAGTAAGAAAACACTTGATGTAGTTTCCAAGGTCAAGAGTAGGTATATTCTGAGGTAGTAGTAAAATGCACTGAAACATTAATTCAGTAGCTTTTAGTGATAAGGTTAAAATATCCTTTTTTTTTTTTTGGAAAAAGAAATGTTTTATTCCTCATCATACAGAGCAGCATAGGAAGGTGACCATCTCCTGACTGTACATCTCTTACACCAAGATGCCCCTCAAATATGCCCAGTTGTCTGCCCCACTTCAGTGTTGGAGTATTGGCAGTTAGTGGATGGGACAGAATGTTTAAGTCTCAGGAAGGTTATCTTTTTGTGGGGAAGAAGTTTTGGGTCAGGGAAAAAATTAGACCCAAGAGTGGATGATCCATTCTCTTATCCTCCTGGGGAAATCCAAACCCCAAAGGAAAGTGACCTCTCCTGGCCACATAGGGAGGGAAAGAGCCCAGACCTACTGCTTTCATGTAAGGCTGAGGCAAAGGAAGAACAGAGTTAAGCAGCAGATTGCAGACCCAAGGCAGAGGAGAAAATACATGTTGGGAGCTGAGGGGACCAATCACCTCAAGGGCCCAGTTGAAAGTCCCCCTCCTTCCCCAGTTCTGAGCAAAAATTCTTCTTCCCAAGACTAGAATGGAATTTTGTTCCAGGGACTGGCTTTGCTCTGGGGCAGAGAGGATAAACCAGTTCAAAGGCCCACGGGTAGTAAAGATGGAGAATTAATGTTGCAGATCAAGAGATGGACCTCCCCAGAATGACCACTCACAGACCACAGCAGTTTTAAAGCTGCATGCCAGGATCAGGGTGGAGAATGAACTTTATAAGCCCACTCCATAACATTTAGCTCACTGTTTTTGCCACTCTGCTCCATTCCCTGTAAGCTGCCTCCAATCACTTTTCCAAGGCAAAGGACAGGGCAGTAAGAAGAAACGGGGGGAAAAAGGCTGAGGCCAGTAAGTGGAGCTGAGACTGAGACTGGACACATCCCTGCCCATCCCCAACCTCACTCATAATGCGGAAAGGAATTCGCCTCCTACCTCTACCCTTGCTGGACATATGGGCTGTTGGGACAAGGCCTAGTAAAGGCAAAGGGAAGAAAACATTCAGCACTTTCTTTCTCCTGCTTTGATCTGGTGTGTAGCTACAGCAAAGGGCAAAGGAGTAGAGAAAATATGGGGGTAGGAGAGCATGGACAAAAATCCAGTCTAGAAGGAAAGAGGATGTTTCCTCTGCCCTGCATCCAAATCTGCTTGGAGCTTTACTCCCAGCAAGACTGAGGAGAGAGAAGTATACTGGGGGAGCGGGCAACCCCAGACAGGATGGAGATTGAAGGATCCCTTATAATCCCGGAGATGACCCTGAGAGCACCGGTTTGGGCCTGGATGAGAAATCACAGCAGACATGCAGAGTTTTGAGGGGGGCGAGGAGCCAGGCCTGGGGTCTTCACGGGAGGAGTGACCACTTGATCTGTTCTTTAGCTGACTGAAGCACCTGAGACACGGTCTGCTCCGTTAAGGGTACATCTTCACCCCTCAATGCCCCCCGGTGTACAACTTGCTGGGGATCCCTCTCTAGTATCACCCCTCCATCTACGATTTCATCCACAGCCAAGAAGAGCCCCTCCACGTTCTCCAGCAGAGCTCGTTTTTCTACATTTTTCCTCAGCATCTGGCTCAAGGAGTCAAAGAGGCAATTCAGAACAGCCATAAGCATCAACTCATTTTCATAGGAGCTGCCAATCACACAGAAATAGAGATCGATGCTGCTTTTATACACCACCGTCAGGCCTTCCAAGAGGGCAATTTCACTGTCAGTCCGATGGGTCTTGTTGAAAATATTCTTTTCAAAGGCCTTTTGCTCCTTGACACTGGGGTAGGTGTCGTCATAGTACTTGGCAAAAAGTCGGTCTCCATCATTGTCCAGAATCAGGATGGCTTTGACAGTATACAGGGAGGGTTCCAAAATCAGCACCTCCATCTTGCCCCACAGCTGGTGCCGACGTGGAGCCGCAAAAGCAACGCCCTAAAATATCCTTTTGTACAGTCACAATGCAAAGACACTTCTGAAAATATCAGCCACATCCCCCCTTTAGGGTGTTCAATTGCCTAGTGGATTTTTATTACCGAAAGCTGAGTCCTTGTCCCTGATTCCAATCCAATAATGAGAAGATGGTTTTGAGAAAAAGGAAAAAGAAATAGGATCGAAGGAGCCCAAATATTGGTGGCAGTGGGCAGACGTGGGTGAGGACGGACAAGCAGACTCCGTTTAGCTCTCCAACATATGCTGCAAGGCTCAAGATCAGGGCCACGCCTGGGGTCTTTATCTACCCTCTGAGCTAGAAATTCCTGTAAGCTGACCTTGGTGGTTTTCCCAAGTTGACATGAAACACTGAAATAAATTCGTACGTGGTGAGCTGCCGATCGTTGCCTAGCAGGAGCCAAGTCGGTTGGGCCTGGTACCTTATTTCCAGCGCCACCCATCTCCTGGGGCCAGAGCTCATAGCTCTTCATTGAACTAATCTGCTAAATGCCACAGAAGGAGAGCTCCTTCATGGGGTGTTTCAACGGGTGACGGAAGCTGGTGGCTATGTTAGATTAAGGACTGAATGAAGACGCTCCGGTGAGCATTCGTGAAGGCACAGAAGCTGTAGGGCAGACAGGAGGGAGGAGTTGGGCCATGACAGAAATGCACTAGGGTGAGAGCCTTGCCAGGCTGACTTGTTCACAGAGACGTCGAGATCCCGTGAGAAAGGTGGAAGCATCAGCACCTGATGGAAGTTTCCCAGTGCCTTCCTGATGCTCTTCTTCTTCCTCTTAGAGGACAAAAGCAAAGCTGGGTCAATGTTGATCTTCAGATAATAAGTGTGCTCTGGCTCCCCATGTACCGTGAACCAGGAGTAACTTCCGACTTGCCGACGTGACTCAGCCCAAAGAATGTTCTGATTTATTCAATTTTTCTCCCTAAATAAGTTAGAGTAGTTTATTCGGGAGTAATTGGATTTTCACATTCTTTGCTGGATCTTGGGAGGACACAGAGTCATAAAAGATAAGCATTGCCTTCTGGAGTGACCTTCCCGGAGGGGAGACACAGGACGGGGGCGGGTCATGTGACTCCGGCCCTGGCCACAGACACAGCGGGCCTGAGCATCTTACTTAACCAAGGAGGAGCCGGAGTCCAGCTGTGGGCTCCTGCTGGTGCACGAGGGGCTGCTGGTGTTTGTGGAGAGCAGGCCGAGCCCTGCTGGGTGGCTCTGTGGTGAGCAGGACAACAGCCCTGCTTCCTGAGCTTCTGCTGTCCCCGGACGGTCCTCCAGGTCTCTCCAGGTCTCCAGGCCACGCTCCTCCTCCCCGTGCATGGTTAATGGGGGTCTGGTCACAGTTGTCTCTGCTCCATCCATTTCTCTGGATTCACATGAGAAGGAGGGTAGCCACCCTTAGCAGGACCCCAGGACAGTGGCCTGGTCTCCGGTCTTTCCAGCTGTCTCCCAGCTGCCCCACTTCTACCTCTCACTCCCCACTGGCCGCTAGGGAACCATCTTTGTGCCCTCTTCAGAGCTTTCAGCATGCCCCTGTGCTCCGTGCCACCCACCCCACCCCACCCCACCCCCCGCCGCCCTGGGAGCTAACATCCAGGTTCGGGAAAGAGAGCCTCTCCACGCCCGGCACAAGCTGCTCCAGGCTGTCAGTCTCCCTGCACCTGGCCGTCTGCCTGCAGCCTGACTCTCAGTTGGTCAGCATGGGTCTGTGTGTGACGTGACCTGCTACTGCAGAAGGGCCCACCTCACCGCCGTGCTTCCTCAGCGCTGGGCTCCGGCACCTTGAGACGTTCCGTCAGGATTTGTGGAACAAAGGAAGGAAACACATGTCTTTCCCAGGTTTAGGTGCCTTCCTGAAGCCAATCTTTTTATTCACTATTGTGGATGTGGAAAGGATGATGGGAGTGGGCTCTCAGGGGTCCTGCAAGCTAGCAGGAAGTCACCAGTAAGGAACAGCAGAACGTGACGAGGAGGACTTCAATATGGGGCCAGGGTGTGCTCAGGAATCACGCGCTGCCTCCCCATGCACAGTGCAATACTGTCCTTCAAATGATGCGTGAGTTTAAGAACTTCTGCTTCATACCTGATGAAGTCTTTATGCCAGTTGAGTACTAAAACTTTAGGGTTCACGTGTGTCATCTACACCTGGAGTTGGCACTCTCCTAGCGTTTACGGAGGCATAGTGCTAACACTTCTTTAGGAAAGCTGCAGCTCTGCTGCACTGGGAAACAATTCTAGGCCCTCGAGCGTCCGTGCATAGAGCCTGCACCGGCACAGCTTGTACAAAGGGTGTTTTACAAAACTCAGCTTATCTTCCTTGCCCTCTTAAGGTGGTACTTTTAGTTGCCATTATTCCTGGATTTTAGATGGTGGTGAAAAGAAGGACTGATCACTTCTTCCTCCGCCATCAGCTCAGTCTGTTGGCTTATGTGAACAAGGCCAAACTGCACGTCTGTATCGACTGCATTTGATCTGTAATGAGTGACCCATATACGTGGCTGTGCAGGTCACACGTGACCGTCCACTCCCAGCTGCTCAAACAGGGGCATGACCATCACGACTACTTCATTCGTAAGACTTCACTATTGTCACTCAGGGACTCTCTGTTCTAGAAAGCACCTGCTATGTGGTCCCTGGTGTCCTCTATCCTGCATTTAATGCAAATTACCTCAAGAAATAAACCAGTTTGAAAACCGCAGACCCAGGTGTCTATCAGGGCTGTTGCTTTCTGAATGATCTAGTTACGGCCACGGAGCCGGTGCTTAGCTGGATGATGAATCAACCGGTGAGAGCAGGTAGCACCTGCAGGACTCACCAGACGTCCTGCTGTCTGCACTGCACATTGCTGTGCGGAGGGCAGCTGGGACGAGATGGTCGGAAAGGTAAGAAGAAAATCCACATTGGACGCGGCTCTTCGGAAGCAGGGAAACCTTGCTATTGCTGTGTCTGCTGCTGCTGGGGACGAGAGGGAGGCTTGGAATTGACCACCCAGAGGCGTTCCAAGAAGCATCAACGTGTGCCTCCTCATGTTCCAAGAAGCACCTACGCGTGCCTCCGCATCTGAATGGCAACTATTAGATTTGCCTGAATCCGGCAGAGCAACATTATTCCGCAGTGTTATTTAAAGAAGACCAACAGCAGTAGCAGAAAGCCCAGCTGAGCCTGAGGATTTTCTCAGCAACCTGAATCTGTGGGTGCCAGCAAGTGTCCCAGAGACCGGTGCCAGGAGGTCACGAGCAAGTGTCAACTCCGAGTCTGAAGACGAGTGTCCCCTCAGGGCAGGCCACTGGACCCTTCTGAAGAAGCCCACACGGAACAGAACAAATGGTCCTGGTGGGAAGCCACACAGTCTCCTCCGTGTAGGACTCAGGCACACGTACAAACAAGCCATAATGAAATCAGTAGAAAATCCCAGAAAAGTGCACGACTATGGAAATGAACATAAATAGCTGTTGCTGGTTAAGATATATTTATATTTCCAAGTCTTTCTCCACTTCCCTCCATCTCACAGTGAGTCCTTATAGAAGACATTAGTGTGTGTTTAGTAGCTTGGTGAAATAATGAGATTTTAAGTAAACAGAGAGTTTATACCTTAACATTGATCCTATAAGAGGGGTCTTCAGAAAGTAGAGCTCATGGGAAGCCGTTCTGAGGGTATTCCAGGACAGGGTGCAGTTAGGCAGTGTGGGCATGCTCACGGGGCGTCTCCCTGCTCGGTGCTGGAGTGGGAGTCTGCAGCCTCCCTCTGTGTGCACTGGCTGTCCGGGGAGAGCGTGGCCAGGCGTGGACACCTCGTGAGGAAGGAAATTCGAGTGGGTAAGCAAGCCACGGTGCTCTTTCCGCAGAGGATGTCCAAGCACCGTCCCTCAGCACTGCCCCTCTGTTCACCCAGAGCACACAGGTGTGCCCAGGGTCACCGACAGCTGCGATTTCATGGCTCCTCAGGCCATGAAGCCTCTTAGTGGGCTTTCCTTCTTTCACTGCCTGAGACCTACATCAATCTCAATGCCCAGAAGCCTCCACTTTTATCAAAATATTGATATTTCAAGCTATGATGATTTTTTTGGAAATTAAAAAACTCTTTAGATGGTACAGGGAGAGGGAAAATAAAATGAAATATATTTTCTCCAAAATTTATTATGCTTGCAAGAATTTGTTGGTGAGAAGCCATGCTGTTCCAGAATTGGGGGTGGTAATAAAATTCTTCATGGGTATCACAAACCTTGAGTCGCTAAGCCAGAAGTGAATTTCAAATAGACCACAATAGACATCAATATGTTTAAAATGAAGATTCTAAAAATGTGGGTGTTAAATGAACAGAACCAATAGTGCATTGGAACAACCCACTGGGCCAGAAATGAGGGGAGCCCAGGCCTCTGTGTGGTTGGGGAGCAGGCTCTGCCGCACACACCCCTTACCACGGGTCATTCACGGGGGAGTTTGAGAAACTTCCAGAAAAACTCCAGGGCATGCTCACTCGCTGCCAACCAACAAAATGCCCAAGGAACTGCTGTCAGGCTTGCTTCTGCCGTCACTGAAATGGTAGAGAAATCTGTTAAAAAGCAACATTTCTGTTGTCAGATTTTTTTTTCAATATTCTACTAAGAAATTTGACCTGCAAACAAATGCTTGCCTTCCTAGGGCCAAAAAGTTTAAACATATGTGTTTTAAAAACAGCACCATTGAGATATAATTATACACCGTAAGTTCATTCATTTGAAGCAGCTAAGTCGAACCTGCATGGTCACAGCTACCTGGGAGGCTGACCTGGACAGACAGGGCTTGAGCCAAGATTCGAGGCTAGCCTGGCGTCCACGTCTCCCTGTCCCTGCCGTGGGCACTGGGCAGTGTGATGCACTGAGGGCCTTGAGGGCACTCCCACCCCATGGGCCACCGGTGGCTCTGGGTGCCCCCCACACTGCTCCCGATGCAGTCAGAGCCTTGCTTCCCCGTGTCTTGGGGCCAGCACCTC